ATTAGCTGTATGCCAGAAAATGGAATTAACTTCTTGTACATTGTTACTGTTGCGGCTGAGCAAACATGGCGACCAAATATCAAGCCGAACTCTGGAAGTTGCGCCTGTTCACCGATTTCCGCAAGACTCATCTTTCTGTCTTTTTTCTTTATCATGAAAGGGAATGTTCCACGTTTGTATGGCGTTTTGAACTGAGATAGCCGCCTTGAGGAGCTCTTGATGCAGTTGACGGTCTCCTTTTTAAGACCCAAAACGAACTGGTCACTGAGTTACACGCCCGCAAATGTGCGAAAAGATTTAATTTGGAGCTTATTTCAAAGTTGCCTCTGCATTAATGACGTCATACATGCGATCATACATACAAAGTATGACGTCATAATGACGTCATACATATACATACATGTCATGCGATCGCGGTCATGCTACAGGCTGTTTTCCGCTTATGGTCAAAACAGCATGGCCAATGGTACATTCGCAAAAACGATGATCCGGCAAGTCTTATACAACGTGCGGAAAATGGTTGGCTGTTAGCAAGGTTCCGTTGCGGAATGCGTGTCGCGAACATAAGCGTGAGCACTTTTGGGTTGTGCGGCACTCGTGAGCGGATCATTTCTCCTTATTTCTAGGCCACAAGTCGATGTTATATAAAAGAACACCATTGTCTGCAAAAAAAGTACGGCACCCAAAAAACGGGCACTCCCACTAAAGCTATAAAAAGAAGACGCTACGGCAAATCTGTTTCCCCTGCTGGCTTTTTCTTCTTCTTCTGCTGATGTCTCTCTTACAGTCTCGGTTGGCGCGTTGCGTACTGGAGTACGGAACCTTGCACGAGTTTATGGGTTAGCAAGGCATTATGAAATTGGGGAAACATTACAGTAATTTTAGATATATAGATTTCATTAAATATTTCACACATATTGTGCCACAAATTCAAATCTTGAACAAAAATTGTGTTCTACAAGTGCAACCTCTTGAGCCGCATTGCCATGAACTCTCGTTGGGACTTTGTTTTGAAGGGGGGTCACGGTGAAATGTGGTGTTATGACTGAAAATCTGTGCGGAAATTGCGAGAAAACCTGCAATTTGATAGTCCCGCGCGCTGTGCTGGCGTGAGTTCATACTTACTTGACATGAGTGTGAATCGGGGGCTTGAAATGTGTGTGATCTCTGGTGGTGTGTGCCAGTGGCTTGTATTGATCTTGATGTGATGGGGAGTATGCGTGCGAGGTTTGTACTTATAATAGAGAACATTGTTTTGGTGTTCTTTAAGTCTACTGACGCCCAATAAATGTGATATATCGATATCCGCCTCTACCTTTATGTTTGTGTTTGAACATGACAAAGGAATGCTGGCAAACTAAGAGAAACACTGGCACTCATGCTACAGGAGTGTACAAGGGCAAGCTGGTATTTCATTATGATCTTGCCAACATTTTGAACCCATTGAGGTATTACAGCATGTAATTAAACCATTGCATGCTATTATATCAGCAATTAATTTTGCCAGTGGGGCTGGTGCGTGCAGCTCATTAATGGACATACTCAGTATAGACTCAAAGCATAGAGCTTTGCAAAACTGTCATCCCTTAAGAATGCTGAACATACAGAGCTGCATTATTACTAATGCACATTGTACTGTCTTCTCAAATTTTGTATGCAGGTATCGTGAATCATCAATGTCATAGTCACTGCAGCTTGCGTGAGATCCTGGGTGCTGAGAAAGATGGAAACGTATTGCGGTTCGTGCCTTGGATAACACTTATACATTTTAATCATTAGCCTTGTGTGCATTGCCAGCTTCATCATTTCCTTGCATTTTGCCCATCCAACCATAACTACATGCACTTGTCATGTCTCCAGCCTTGTGCAAGGTCAGCATGTTTGCAGCGTCATTTCATCACATGCAAAATTTTCCTGTTATTTTTTTAGTACAGCAGCCTGATGTTTGCATCATGTGGCATAACTGTGGGAGCGGAATATGTGTTTGCATCTTTCTCACTTACGTTTTGTAGATTCCAAAAATGGGCTGATCAAGTGGTGCCACTTATTGGTTGTCTGCTTTGCTGAGTGATTTGTATATTGTATCACGTATTTTTGGTAAGTCATATGTCAGATGGGGAGTCAATACAAGAGAGCACACTTTACCCATCTTTTCATGATGGAATTTATTATGAAAGCAGCATGGATTGTAGTACAAAAACCATATTGTTATTCATTATGACATGCTATAGTGCAGCACTGAGCTAGTGCCACAATGAAGCTGTTGACCCGTGCCATTACACAATGTACCACATTGGTTGACTGCTCTTTGTCAAGCCTATAAGACAGCAGCTTATAATTAATGAATGACTGGACAACTGATTTAAAATGCCAAAGGACTATCAACAGCAAAAATGTCATTCCACCGCATTGGTTATATCGGGGTTAACTATTAATTACATAAATAATCCTAAGCAAAAAAAACATTATTGGTAGCCCAACCTTGCCATCTTTACCAAAGCAATAGCAATGCTATGTGAATCGGCAACGTTACAAGCTCTAGTATTTTCACATGGCACTGCATGTTAAGCTACAAACAATAAAGAAAGTAACTACTGTGCACATCGTATGATATCAATTCAGGACTACATCCTTGCACAACGATGGGTTGACAATAAAGTATTGACAAAATCATCAACAGCATGGCAGCAGCACAGCACATCGTGCTTTGATATTAATAATTTGCCGTAAAAGCTAGCGATCGCTACGTTGCGCATGTCAAACAGTCCACGAAAGCTTTTCTTACGACCAGCACCTAGATAACAAATCAACAAACAAATTACCCATTAATCCACCGCCCGACTCAGCCCCCGCGGCGAGAATAGTCGGTTGGCGTCAGCTTTCGTGTGTTTTGAGGTACTCTTTAGGTCTGGCTGCGAAATGCTGCCAGATATTGCTGTCGTCACAGAACCATTCCATGACGCTATCAAGCAATGAAGAAATGGGGCGCATTTTTACAAACTTTGAAATTTTGCTACTTAGCGTCGTTTTTGAACCTGAAAACTTATACTTAATAAACTTAATAGCTACGAGCAAGCTTTTCCCGTCATATCTCATGCCTTCCTCAATATCTTCAAAGGTGGAACATTCCCTTTAAGAACGCCTCGAAGAGAAAACGCCAATAAACCCAGTGCATCGTCAATCACAAGGACATAAACCACCTCTTTGGGACTCGCATTGCTCTCCAACCCGCACGAATTCTTTTCTCGTGGCTGACACGAATGTCTGCAGGTGATCCGTCTAGGTGTCGCTACGTTCGCCTTGGTCGGCCATTCTAGCTTATTGCCCGAGTTTTCCACTACTCGATTGAGAAAGGCTTCCGTGGATTCTTTGAGCATTTGCTCCGTCTTTGCCAAAAGGCTGGATTCACTTAACTTTGGCGAGCTAATGCGCTTTCCTTTATTTTCAATCGCCTTGAGCATTACCTCCTTTGGGCGCTGTCTCTTAGCAGTGGCTGACATTTGTCCTGAGCTCCCTGACCAAGTTGCAGCGTAGTCCTGTGGTATCTGGTCGGCGTCCCTGCATACAGACTCGGGGCTTCCGACATCTTGCCAATCACAGCAGGAAGCTGACGAGGCGCGCACTGTTAGGCGCCGTAACTCAATTGCTGTCTCCTCCCGTAACCACTCTCCCGCCGCTGGTCATACATTCTACCCATCCTGTGTTGGTCGCAGCGCACTGGCGCAGACGGCGAGCTGGCCCCAAAAGCAGACTGGAGAGCTGGTTTTTCACACGTTGAGTGCGGTCCATTGAGAACCGCGTTAAACAACAGAGAACTGACTTGGTAAGGTGCTGTAAGTTTCCGTACAGATACACATAAACGCGAAACAAGTTCGGGCTAAAATCGATACGAGGCACGAGTCTCCTCCGGATGCATTCCTTAACAACCTGTTGTTCCTTTCCGGTGCCGGCGCCGGCTTATAGTTGTAAGCGACGATCGGCG